CCGCCCGAGCCCGTGTGAGCCCTAACCCGTACGGGCCCACGAAAACCCAAAAAATCCCAGCCCTATAACAGCCCGTTATCCCCAGCCCGCTAACAGCCCGCCCGCTAACCGAACTAGCTAAGGTTTTTCCCGTTCAGCCCGTCCCAGCCCGCCCGATAAACACTCATAATCTATACCCGCTTTTTGGGTCACGTTTTAACTTATACCCTCTTTGCAAAAAAAATTGCAAGTATACCTACTTTTCGTGTAACTTCAGGCATACGGGCCTGAAGTGTAGCAAAACTTAAGATATTTTTGCATGAAGTTTGGCCTAACTTGCAAAGACAATCACGCAAACTTCAGTTCATAGTGCAAATGACAAACTTCAGTTCAATAAAACAACAACATGTGTTGGCTGAAGTTTTTGTTTTTAATTGCTGAACTTCAGCATTCTAATAGCTTAAGTTTTGTTCTGTATTTGTTGAACTTCATGTTTTAGCTAAAGCTTTTGTTTATAATTGCTTAACTTCAGCAATCTAGTAGCTGAAGCTTTGTTCTGTATTTGTTGAACTTCAGCATGTTTTAGCTGAAGCTTTGTTCTGTTTGTGATGAATTTCAAGGCTGAAGTTTATTTTGTATTTCCTGAACTTCAGCATTCTTAGAGCTGAAGTTCTAAACAACAATGAATTTAATAGATCATGATTAGCAGTGATTGATGTTGTTCATTTCAAAAATTAAAAAAGAATAAAAAATATTTTCGACATGAAAACAAGTTACTATAGATAAATTAGAACCAAAAACAATGTGTCTGTAAAGCTAAAAAAATCTAAGAGGTTAAATTATGGTGAATAAGACCAAACTAAACATAATGGGACAAACATATATATATGAATCATTAGGCTAGAACGCGTAACAATATCTCAATCTTCAGCATTCAGAAAACGAAGGAGGAGAAGGAGGAGGAGAAAGAAGCCTGAAGTTGTTTAAACAGTGGGTACAAGTTAAAACTTTTTTAAAAAGTGGATATATGTCAAATGGGGGTGACCAAATAGGGCGCCACGTACAATTTTTACAATTAGTAAAGATTAAATAGGCTCAAAGATTATAGGGCGAAGTGAACCAGTAGTCACTGTTAAGCCTGCTATTTAAAATATATCCACAATTTATAATATATTTATAGATTAGCCAATTCGCCCAAACTTTATGACTAAGTATTCTGATTTTTTGTGTCCTAAATTTTTGAGCTACTAATTTGGGATTCAGAACTTAATCTCTTAAATTTTTGAGCTGTTAATTTGAAATTCAGGACTAAGTGTCCTAAATTTTTGAATTGCTAATTTGACGTTCAGGAGATAAAATTCTAATTTCTGGACAAAATTTTTGAACTTCAGACTATGATTCCTGAAGTTTGAACCTTGAGGTTTATACTTCAGGAGGCCGTGTCATGAAGTTTGAGAATTGGCTAATCTTTAAATACATTATAAATTGTATATATATATTTTAAACATCATACTTAAAAATGGCTACATGGTATCACTTCCATAGGATAATAGGCATGAAAGAGATGTGGCCCAAATAGTGATATCCCATAATACCAGCTAAACATGTTAAAAGTAAGAGGTAGATTTAAGTGTCCTCTAAACGTAACCACAACCTCTGTTGAGCATTGCAGATTACGTGTCATGCATCTGTTAGTTTTCTAACGAAAGTAGACCTCTGGGTTAATTAGACTAAAAGTGTTTGCAAACTTAAAGGACAAATAATGCTTGGTGTTATATTTAGATGACAAATTAAGCCTTATCCCAAAGATAAGGGATGACTTTGGGTAAAAATTCTTTAAAAAGACGTGTTACTGTTAGTTAAGAGAACATTCCGCAACAAAAATTAAATTTTTTGCCAACAATATCGTTGTTGCCACAAATTTCTAGCTACAACTTTTGAGCTTCGTTGCTACATGCACAATTCCTATTTCCTTGTAAACCATTCAAAGAGATCCCACAATTTTTTTTGAAATAACCACAACTCTTGAAATATACACAATTAATATATTATATACATGTGAACGTCAGTACATAAAGTCGTCTCGCAAATATTTACTTCTAAGTCTATGATTTATAGAAGTATGATTTCACTTACCAAAAAAAAATGGGCATCATATCCAATAACATTAAGTTCTAATCCAATAGTTANTGGTTGACACGTATTTATCCTATAAAAGAAGAAAGTACATTTAATTTGATAAAAGAAAGACACAATAAGCACAGAATTAATATGAACAAAACAGAAGCACAAGAACTATAGAGCAAAAGAAGCAGAAGACGTTAGGTCTACAACTCTTTATCAACTAAAGAGAGAAGCAAACACACGTTGACGTGCATATTGCTAGTAGCTAAAATACAGCCAGGAACTAACCCGTTATTAGATATCTCCAATTCAAGTCTTCCTTCCTGAGATGGAAAAATAGGAGACAATTTAAGCTTAGACATTGATATCAGCATTACTTGAAAGAAATAGTTATTAAGCAGCATAATACCTTGTTAACAATGCATGCATCACTTGAGAAGTTGTGCCTTTCTTTCTTTGGGACTTCAAGACGAGAAGAGATGGTATGTTTCTGTTCTTCTGACTAACAAATCATTTTAGGATGTCAACCAATCAGTTTAAGAAAACTAGTTTCTATTTGGAAAAGGCTATAGGCACATCTTCATTTATGAAAGAGTGCAAGAAAATAGCAGAGACCACCTCCTCTAACATAGCCGTCAAGTAGTTGATCGCATTCTCTTTTGATAGGTAGTGCTCAACTTCTGATATTGACTTGTTAATTATTGTTTACTTCTCAGTTCTCACGTGACTGGGCAACGACATTTCATTATATACACGCATATATAAAACACCGAACAAAGTACTAGTCTTGACCAATAACATCAAAGCCTCAACAAGCATCAATGTTTTTCCAGTTAATGAGCCCATCGAATTAGTAGTAACATATGTGGGGTTTTTTTTTTTTTTTTTGGAGAACATAACATATGTAGATTTTCTGAAACTACAATTTAACAATTTGATGGTACTTCTATGCTGCTTCAACTATTATTCTTAGAGATTATTGTCAATTCAATAGAGATTTGAAGCAGCTCACTGCTACAAAATAACTTCATGTGCTCCTCTGTCAAGTTTTACTCCTATCCACACTATACATCAGCATTAACAGGAGCAGACCCACATGGGACCAAGAGCGTTCATATGAACCCACTTCGTCAAAAAATAACAGTGTATATAGGTCTATTTTATCTTTCTTTGAAAGAGTATTGATATCGAAGGGGAGCCTTGGCGTAACTGGTAAAGTTGTTGTCATGTGATCAGGAGGTCACATGTTCAAGCCAGGGAAACAGCCTCCTGCATAAATGTAGGGTAAGGCTGCGTATAATAGACCCTTGTGGTCCGATCGTTCACCGGACCCCGCGCATAGCGGGACCTTAGTGCACCGGGCTTCCCTTTTTTGAAACAGTATTGATATAGGTTATATACTGACCCTGCTTAGAACAAAGATAGCGTCCAGCCTGCTGGCAAAGTGAGTTCAAGTTTTGCAAACTCTCCTTAGTTCGAAACTATATTGGATGCAACTATTTCTCTTTAACAAAGCATAGCTCTCTGTTTCGCTTTAAGGAAACTATATTGGATGCAACTATTTCAATGACTCTTAACTAATGAAGCAAATTACAAAATTTAGAGGAAAGGACTTCCTGCTGAGGTAACTATTATAGTTCTAACTTTTCCTTATTTAACCGACTATCACCAAGTAACTAGCAAAGTAAAAAGTTAGGATATCTCTCACACTTTCTGCTATTGTAATGGGCTTACTAAGGAGATTTCCTTTTTCTCAAATTATTCAATCTAAATACCCATCACAAGTTCCACCGTGAACTACCAAAATACACTGATAAAGTTAGCATATATTGAAATAAAATTTGTCATGAAAAGCTGAAAGGTTAATACTCCAAATACGACCACTTCCTTTAACTACCCGTTTGACATTTAAGGAAACCATATATTAACTAGGAAATACCAAAGAGAAATTCAGGAAAAGCTAAATAATTGAAGGTGATGCAACATGTAATCATGAGGAGCTCAAACTACTTTAAACTTCATGTTTGTGCATCTATTGAAAGATAGAGGAAGACACACTGAAAACCTACCCAACATGTAATACTTCATGATTGCAACACGTAATCATGAAGAGCTCAAAGCAAGTTCTGCCGGTCAATACATCTGTATTATCTCCTGTGGACTTGAACTTGTATTCCCAGAGTAACATGATAAAACCCCTAAATCCAGCAGCCGAACATTCTGAAAAGAAATATCCAAATCACCATTAGCATATTGAAAAACAAAAAAAAAAGGCAACATATAACATGGAGAATCGACTTCAAACTATTTTTCCACTAAACAAAAGACGGGATTACATATGCTATATTCATATTAAGTGATATGCACAAAGCTGGCAAATTGACAATTCCCATTTGGAGTTATATTTAGCTCCTCTAACAGTTAAGAAGTCATTTCTAGAATGAATGACATCAACGGTTAAGCGCAAAGAAATAATTATGTGGTTAAAGATTGCGATTAACCTTGAAGTTCCGGAAAGAATGGACCACCGAAACTGCAAAGTTATAATATCAAGGTTCTTCCCGAAAAGTGAAAAAAGCACAGCACGGTCTGTCAAGATGATTTAAAATCTTAACCTTACTGATCTAAACTGGAAATAACCCAAAAAAGAAGAGATAGTAGTCTTTATATTATGAATAAAGTTTCCTTAGTTGAGGACTAACCACTCATCAGCACAATTTGATGGAATGATATGCTGCAATAACTGGTTCACCCTGCATGCACATCCACCTGCAAAGAAAACATAATAATATTGTTGGAAAGCATATTAGCATGAAGTGAGGAAATCATTGCCTAGGAAATGCATGAAAACTTATCTGGAATAAGAAATGAAGAGCAGTTGCCTAGGTTTTGGATCATTTTTCTTTTTTCATATTTCTAATCCCAAAAGCAACAAGTCTAACGGACACAGCTAAGGCAGCTTCTCGGACAACAGAACTTTCTCTTTCGTCCTTCCCTAAATGATATGGGAACCCCCATTTATTCAGTTCTCAATTTAAACTTCCATTATCCAGAAAAGGTGCTAGGCCAAGCATATAATTCAGTAACTATACAGCCTATCTTTTTCTTTTTTGTTTTTAGATCAGAAATCCAGGATTCAGTTGCTGCTGAGCTTTTTTACTCCGTTACTTTTTTCAAGGGGTAGAGCAAAAAAGAATGGAGAAGCAACACTTTGGCTCAGACTGAAATTATCTACATGCATTAAAAAGCTATTGAAATGAGATTAGATGCCAAAATTCCAGACATCACAGCTATTGTGCCTCATGCTGCATCGGGACAAGGGTTTTAACTTCTTATCAGAAAAGGGTGAGGGCAGAAATGTGGGAGGAACTCCAGTAGGCAATCAATACAATAAAATTATCCTTTGTTGGCAATGAAGGTCCAAAAGATTAAAAAAAAGGAGGGATGGAGAATATTTTTCTGGAAATTAGAGGTGAGATATGCTGCCAACAGAGTTTAAATCGAAAACCTCAGTCAAGTAAGCAGTGGATGCTGACTTTGCAGGAGCAAACATGGAAAACAACTTAAAACTGAGTACAAGTAAAGCTTCCAACTTTCCATTGAAGAAATTCCTATTTCTTCCTGCTCTCTCACATGAAATTAGGAACAAAATAAAATACTCCCTCTGTCACACTGCAGTTACTATTTGAAGAGCCGGTAGTTTTTCTTTGACTATGAATTTTTCATATGCCTTTTAATCATTTTGAATTGTTAATTATTGTGACTTATAGTAATTTTTTATGTAGTTTCTAAATATGAAATTTTATTTCCAAAAACTTGAAGATTCTATATCCAAAATCACACCGAAAATTAGATAGTTTGACCCTTGTATTCCAAATCGTTGCATAAAGTGGGACAGAGCGAGTAATATTTTCTAGCTGTAAGACCTATATGGAGATCAAACACAAAGGAACCTGAATAATCCAGCGCTCGCTTCCTCGCTTAAAGTGAGAAGCGAAGCGACACGACCCCTTACCCACTTCTGCTATATGAAGCGACTCAGGTAGACAAAAGCGTGTGCTTCCCACCAAAAAGCGAGAAGCGACGAAGCGAAGCGAATCGAGCGAAGCGTGCGCTTCTTTGTTTTAAAGAGCTGTCAGCCTATTTAATTAAAAAAGAAGGGTGTTCAGTGTTCTTTTATTAAAACACGACCAGCAGCAACAGCAACTAGGGTTCCCTTTTCAACTTCAACAGAGATTCAGCAGCAACAGGTATGTGATGATTTCTTCCTTCTTCATCTTCTTCTTCTTTTTCTTTTTCTTTCACAGTCCAAATAGCAGCGAAATGCTGGCAAATTTTTTTTTTACCTTCGGTTCTTCTTTCTAAGTCTTCTCCTCTTCGCTGAAATGCTGCCCAGTTCTTCTTTCATTATTTTTATGCTGCCCAGTTTTTAACAGAATGGTATACTGCCCTTCCTCTTATTTTAATTTTTTTTTTTTTAAAATTCCGCTTCACTTCAAAAAAGCGAGCGTTTCGCTTCTCGCTTCTCGCTTTAAGCGAAATGGGGGTTGTCGTTTTTCCACGCTTCACGCTCTTCACAACACTGGAATAATCAAATGAGGATACTCCTAGAAAATTGTTCCAATAATCCAACTTAAGAAATGCAGAAGTGATGGAAAAATTTCAATTTACTAGAAGCTCGACTCTCTCAACACAATGTTAACCTACTCTAAAGTAACCCTATGTTTTCAGGATTTCCAGGAAAGTGAAAGAAAAGGGCAAAAATCAGTAAGGCAAAGCTGAATTCTGATTTTCATACATATTAGATGCTTCCGCTCTCTTTGCTCAAGAGTCAAGACTAAACCAGAGCATCCCATGTTGGTGGAGCTAAGTGGAGAGAGATTTATAATGGGCATTTGGTGAATTATGATACTCGGATGAATATCCATCTGCATGAAAGTTATTTGTATATCAAAGATGGTGATAGATTTTGGAGAATGAAGAATGTTATACTCACAGCAATACCATGGAGGATCTTCGAATTCCAGACGAGGTGATTGATAAAGTTCAGGGAGAAACAAAAAAGTCGTGCAGATAGAAAACCACATGGTGTAGGACAGGAATGGGAAGAGGTAGGGACAAAAGTGCTGCTTGAAGACAGGTGTAATGCATTGGGCGTGGAATGGAAAATGCATGTTCCAAAAGTCGGGACAAAGGAGGACCTGTTGCAAGACTGGTGGAAAAGATGGAGTAGTGAACGTGGCTATCTTCATTTAGAGAGAAAGAAGCCAAATGAAAAGTGGCACTTTTAAGGCATACCGAATATATTGCATCTACTTATGTTTATATTGCAAAATTATTAACAGCTTGTTTGGATGGTTGTTATGTATCGCATAGCATTGTATTGTATTGTATTGTATCGTTTTGATATATATAATGTTTGGATGATTGTATTGTTTGCCGTCGCTGCATGATGTCATGCACCAACAATATGAAGAATAAACTCACAATATCATTAAAAAAAAAAAAGTAAGGTACGAGGTCCTATTGAGTGACGAAATATGTAAGCAAGCTCATGCCTTAAAGCTATTTGGAGATCGATATACATGAAATTTAAAATGAAAACTGAGCTAGTTTTCAAATAAACAAATTCAGTCTCAGGAAATAAAAGTAAGCCTTTCGGACATAGTCTGACCAATTTCCTTTTCTGGATATTCCTCTTTCTCTAGACAGGCACATCTCACTCTAATACTAAATAATTTATATTTCGAGGCAAATTGAGGTTTTTAGTTCTCTAAATCTCACAATTTTCCTATTCTGTGTGTGGCATACATCTCTAAGCCAGACAAAACAAACTTCTAGCACAAGCCCCAATCTTGACACATTTCAACAAAATAAGGCGCAGACGAAAATTTACCAGTTTCACAATGCAAATTCACAAAATAAATCAAATATGGACAGTTTGGTGACACTTTTGAAACCAACAGTATAAGCAAACTTCACTAATTAACCAAAATATATTAATGGTTCAAACCAAGTAATCAAATTAAACATTGTACCCATTTTTGCATATTCTTCGGAAAGTTAATTGTCTTCCCAGTATTGGACACACTTCTATTGACATCCAATTGAGCTTTGCGTCTCAACTTCACAGTTACAGTATGAGATAAAATTGGGATGAAGGAGGATATGTTTATCTAGGAATGTAATCAATGCAAATATTATAAGTCATACTAGCATAGTCTTTATGCCCAATCAAACAGGTCATAAAGCGGGGCAGAGGCTGTAAGTAAACCAAGATTACATACCTCTGGGAAACAAAGACAGCTGTTGCTACGAGGGTAATGCTTCTGGACCTAAAATCTGTCAAACCAGGTGTAAAAGCCTAAGTAGCTTTCTCTTCTGGACCACATACATCTAGAGTAGCCCTTGAATTCACAATATTTCCTGGGAAAACATTCTCATCTAGGCATTGCCACTAACCACTTTTGGTAAAGGTCAAAGACTTTATCAAATTCTCTCATTCTGCAGTATCTTTTCATGAGTATTAGAAAGGGAACATGATCAACAGCTAAACCAGATGCCAGTAACTTCCCAAAGAGCTTGTCTGCCTCTTTCATCATACCTTGTAGACAAAACACCTTAAGTAGTTTGCTGTAAGTTATTACATCTGGCTGACAACCTTTTCTCAACATTTGGTCATGTAGCTGAAGTGCCGAGTGAATCAGGCCAAGATTACAAGCAGCACCAATCAACAGATTGTAAGTAACTGAATCAGGCGTAAGACCACACAAAAGCATCTCCTTCTCCAAGGACTGAGCTGCAAAAAGATTTCCTGACTTTATCTGCGCATAAATCAATGCATTATATGTAAATATGTTTGGTAGAACACCAAATGCAACCATTTTGTCCCTAATATATGAAGCTTTCTCAATATCTCCACATCTTCCATAACCATCAATTATAACATTCCAAACAAGGGGTTCCGGTATAATGGATTTCTGTAACATGTATTCAAGAAAACAGCCGGCTCTATCAATCTCCCTGTTAATACATAGGCCCTGTATTATCATTTTGTACGTAATTTGATCTGGGGTGACACCCATTCTTGTCATAACATCATAGATATAACAAGCATCACTGGTCTTTCCTTTTTTACAAAGTGCTCCAACAAGAGTGTTGTAAGAATAAACATCTGGAAGGAAACCAAGCTTTAGCATTTCACAGCAATACTTATATGCAGTACCCACGTCATGGCTCATACAGAATCCATGGACGACAACATTGTAAGAAACTTTATCAACTTTGATACCCTCTTTTAACATCCTCTCCCAAAAAGCAAGAGCTTGATCAGTATCTCCATTTTTGAAGCAGCCATCCATCATTATGGTTGACGTAATCAAATCTGAGCTCCCCCCATCATGATTTTTGCTTAGTAATTTATGGAAAAGCTTTTTCGCCTCCTCCACCAAGCCCTTCTTACAAAGCGCATGAACAAGAATGTTACAAGTAACTCTGCTTGGTATAATTCCATGGTTGGCCATGGTAGAAAAGGTGTTTAGAGCTTTATCGACGCCATTCATGAGGCAATAACCCCTTATTAAGGAATTGTACGTAGCACAAGTGGGAGAAGGACCCCTATATAACATACCTCTAACAATCCATTCTGCCTTCTCCAATTCACCCTTTTTGCACAGTCCATTGATGAGGTAATTGTGTGTGATCCCATCGGGAATAATACTATGTTGTATCATGTTGCACCAAAGAGATAAAGCTGCCCCCAGTTTACCATCCAGACACATAGCTCTAATAACATATGAGTCTCTATTGAAATTTATTTCCAAGTTGCAGTTACTAATGCCTGCTTCAGCTGAGGATACTCTTTCCCTGCAAAATTCACGTAATTTTCTTTGAAGATATTAGGGACCTGAAAAAGAAGCCAACACACTCAACTTCAACAAGAAACAGTCTACAGGCACAGGATTGAAAGTAATCTTCCATTGACATTGCTGAACAAAAGAAAAGTAAATCTTCTCTCACATTTAATGATATTGTCCTCAGAAAGAAATGGGGAAGGGTGAAATCTAGACTTAAGAATCTATACAGAACTAAGAACAGTTATATGGGAAAAACACAAACAAGTCAGTTGTTTAGACATCAGTAAACACATTTAATTCGAGTTCTGTCTATGCAAGCAGCAATTACAAAATAGATTAGCAATCTCCAAACACCTCGTTTTTTTTAAAAGAAAATACTTCCCCTATTTTATGCAAGCCTATTTCTAACTTAAATCTTGTGGTTTGTCAACACTACAGATTTATCCTAGTCAATCATCATTGAATGCTTGCTTCAAGATTTTGATCTATAGCTGCTTGTGATGTTAAATTCAGTTCTCTGAATTATCCTTCCTTCTACATTTTGGACTCATTAACATGATTAAAGTAGATAGCCCATTGTTATAATTCAACTCTAGGACGGGTTTTTTAACCTCTTAGTAGTGTTGAACATAGAAAATCCTGTAGAAAATACAAGCTAACATGTCCCACCAATTTACATTCAGGTTAGCAGAGGATATCATTCTTATCCACGAGGAGAGCAGGAGCAATCCATGTATTAGTTAAATCCTCCGCATCACGGGAAGCATTGAAGGTAAGAGTTTTCAACTTATCATCCCTTTCATATCGTTCTTTAAACAGAATATTCTTCGTCGATCAAGTTCAACTACAATTTTTTATAAGGTAAGTAATTTTTATTAAGGCAAGTACCAAGATGGTACTTTCTTTTATAAGTAAAAGGTATTATTAGTAATAAACTCAGTACCAAGAACATACTGAGAAAGAGTACAACAAGACTAGAGCGGAATCCTCTAAAGCCGTAAGGAATCCATCCCCTCAAAACATTTTCTGTTCCTCTTGAGCAATATATTCAAGAATATGCATAATGGAATTGTCCTCCAAATCTTTTTCTTCACTTTCTTCATTCTCTGACTTTGTCAACTGCTTAGCACTTGTTCCACCTTTGCTGGAATGACCGATTGAATCCCACACAAGTTAAGAAACATACGCCAAATCGGCCACACAAATTTGCAGTGTTATAGAAGATGATTTACTGTCTCGCCATTTTCTTTGCAAATAACATCATCCACATAAGCTGATTTCTCTTCTTTTGCAATGTTTCCTGCGTAAGGCATGCTTCATGTGCTGCCAACCATCCAAAGCACGACTTTGGGTCGAGCTTTAGTCTCCCAAAGTGATTTGCATGGCCAATTTGTTCTATACTCCTCCAAAGTTCTGCCAGTAAATGATAACTCGAGTTTACTGTAAATTTACCATCCTTGCAACCTTTCCACCACAAAGAATCATGCTGTGAGACCTCCAAAAAAGCTTCTGCCAACAATGTCCAAAAATATAGCAACACTTTCTAACTCCCAATCACTGAAATTCCTTCTGAACTGAGTATTCCGTTCATTACCATCCCACCATTCTTGATATAACAGTCTTTATTAATGGCTATATTATATAAATCTGGAAAATCATTCGCCAAAGCTTGATCCCCAAACCATCTGACCTTCCAGAGTTTTATTCTTTGCACGTCCCGAATTCTCCACCTGGCGTGCATCTGAAACGCGTCCCATAAGCTGTTAATGAACATCCACTGTGCAACACCATGTGGGACAGAAATCTCGGTAATATCTCTATATTTCGTTAGCCCATATTTAAGCTTCATAAGCAAGAAACTTCTTTTTTGCAGTACCATCTTGATACTTGCTTTGAGGGGGTAGCCTGGTGCATAAAGGAGCCTGCGTGTCAAGATGGTACTGCAAAAAAGAAGTTACAAAATTACAAAGATATCCATTTAGCTATTAAGCACACTCATGTCAATGAATCTAAGAAGTCTAAAATCTGATAAACCTCTACTTTCCTCCTTGCACCAGCAGAACAGTTTTCTGCACATTTATGTTTTACAACTGCTATCTGATTCTTTTCTCCAAAAAACACCTCCTATTTCTTTCCAACCATATACTCCATAGGATGCCCAAAGGAGTTGTTCTCCAAATTTTCTTGTTGCTTCCCCAATCTTCTTTGCATGCCATGCCAGCTAGACAATAAACTCTGCACATCTTTAGGCACCACCAATTGCAAACCAAACAACTGTCCAAATCTGCCATGAGAAAGTACAGTGAATCAGTATGTGCTTTGTTGATCCTATCTCCTTCTCACACAGATAACACCTGCTGCACATCATAAATCCTCTTCTCTGGAATAAATCTTCAGTTAGACAGACATTTCTTGCCGTAACCCAGCCAAAACATGCCACTTTTGAAAGTGCTTTGCTCTTCCATATCATCTTCCAAGGCCATGTCTCCTTCCAATTATTCAAATTTTCCTGAAACATGTTATAGCAGCTACTAAGAGTAAAATTCCCTGTACTATTTGCCAGCCGGACCTGTGCTTCATTCTTATTAGTTACTACTGTCCAGTTTGAAGGGTTCTAAAACAACCAACAACTGACTGATCTAATCTATCTCCCAGTCATTAAAATTCCTTATAAACTGCACATTCCTGCCAGTTTCAGAGTAAACTCTGAACCAAACAACCTTTATTAACATAGAGACTGTATCAGGTAGGAAACTTATCTTTAACTCTAAGCACCCACCCTCTTCCCAGATTCTTACCCTTACACCATTACCCACCTTCAGCTTGACAGTTATATGGAAATCCCTCCATGACTTACTGATGCTTTTCCAGATAGTCACCCAACTTGCCTGTACCACATGGTTTGGCTTCCACCAGTCTTCCTTGCCAAACTTAGTGTATTAACCACTTTACACAACTCAACTCTATCTTCATTGTATCTCAGAGGCACTATACATCAGACTTTTATTATGCTATCTGAGATTCTTGACTACCATCTCCTCCCTTTTTGGATACCATCACATCTTGCCATCTAACTAAATGACATCTCCTTCTTTCTGAATTGCCTTCCCATAAAAATTATTCCTCAATCTACTGATTTTCTTCTCAATATTTACTGGAATAGGAACAAGAGACATTAATAGCCTGTTTGGCCAAGCTGGAGAAATTAGCTTATTTTGAGAAGTGCTTTTGAAAAAAGTACTTTTGGAGAGAAGCAGTTTGTGTTTGGCTAATCACTCTGAAAAGCACTTTTGAGCAATAATTTGTGTTTGGCCAAGCTTTTAAGAAAGTGCTTTTAAGTATCAAATTGCGAATAAGGACATGAATAGATTTACTTAATAGTTAATATCATAAGTAAATAAATAATCTCAAAATTTTGTTATTACAAGCAATAGTTAAATCTTTTTATTTTATTTAAGTAAAATATGAAAATAAAATTAAAAAGTACTTAATTCTTTTAATATAAGTTAAATATATTAAAACTCATTCAACAAATATAAAAGCATTCACCCCTAAAGTCACTATATATTAGAAAGTTATCCTAAAAATAAGAAGAAATGCTTAGACATTAATATTCTAAGTATTAGGTTTAACGGTTATTTTGGTATATACTTGTAACGACCCGGCCGGTCATTTCCTGAGTTACAGCCCCGTTTCCCCCATTTCTGCTTTTTTATGTGTTGTTCAGCTATATTTCATCGCATTGTGTTGGTTGGTCTGGGTTCGGAGTGGTCTTGGAATGGAATGAGACACTTAGTCTCTAATTTAGGAGCTTAAGTTGGAAAAGTCAACCGGATGTTGACTTATGAGTAGGAGGTCTCGGATGTGAATTATGATGGTTTGTATAGCTCTGTTAGGTGATTTTGGACTTAGAAGCATGTTCGGAAAGTAATTCAAAGGTCCGTGGTAGAATTAGGCTTGAATTGGTGAAATTGAAAATTTGGAGTTTCCGGTCGGCAGTGGAAATCTTGATATCGGGGTCGGAATGGAATTCCAGAAATTGGAGCAAGTTCGTAGTGTCATTTGTGACGTGTGTGCAAAATTTCAGGTCATTCGGAGGTGATTTGGTTTGTTTCGGCGTTGTTTGCGGAATTTGAAAGTTTAGAAGTTCTTAGGCTTGAATCCGAGAGTGATTTGATGTTTTGATGTTGTTCAGAGTGTTCCAAAGGTTGGAATAAGTTTGAATAGTGGTATATGACTTGTTGATATTTTTGGTTGAGGTCCCGAGGGCCTCGGGATGATTTCGGATGGTTAACGGAAATATTGGAACTTGGTTTGAGCAGCTAAAGCTGCTTCTTCTGTCATATCCACACCTGCGGATTGGGGACCGCAGGTGCGAGAGGGAGGCCGCAGATGCGGAGAATTGAGAGTTGAGGCAAATCCGCAGGTGCGGACAAAGGACCGCACCTGCGAGACCGCGGATGCGAGTTATGGCTGCAGAAGCGGGATTTTCAGGGTTAAGTGAAAACTGCACCTGCGATGATTTTTCCGCAGGTGCGTCGTCGCAGAAGCGACAATGTGACCGCAGATGCGGTAAATACTGGGCAGAAAGTATAAAAGGTCTCCTTCGCAAATTTTGCCTAATTTCTCCATTTTTGAAGACAGGTGTTGAGCTTGGACAGTGATTTCTCAAGAGGGATCAAGGGTTATCAGTTGGGTAAGCTACTTAAGCTTTATTACTTGTGTTTATGACGATTTTTCCATTGTTTAATCATAATATTAGTGGAAATTAGGGAAGAAATTTGGGGAACTAGGGCTTGAAATTGGAGAGTTTAATTTGAGGATTTGAGAGGCCATTTGACATTGGATTTTGATGGTTTTTGTATGTATGGACTCGGGAGTGAAAGGAGTTTCTAGTTTTGTAATTTTTATCGTATTCCGAGACATGGGCCCGGGGACCGGGTTCGAGCAAATTTGGGATTTTTGGTCTAGTTTGATAATTTTCGTGTGGGTTTCATTCCTTTAACATATGTTGATGTTAGTATACTAATTTTTGGTTAGACTCGGAGCATTTGGAGGCCGAATTGAGAGGCAAGGGCATCGCGAGCTAGAGTTTTGGCTTGGTTTGAGGTAAGTAACGCTTCCAAACTTGGTTCTGAGGGTTCGAAACCCCGAACTATGTGTTCTATGATTAATAATGAGGTGACGCAAATGCCAAGTGATGGGCGTGTGAGCGTGCACCGTGAGAATTGCGGCCTGGATCATTCCATGGCACCGCTTAGTGACTCTTTCTTGCTGATACCTATGTAGTGATTATGTGATTAAGTTAATGAGTTGTAAATCATGTTAATTACCATGTTAAGGCTTCACGCTGATACTATTAAAACCCGAGAGGTCGTTTCTTGCTGCCATATCGTTAGCTTCATAGATATTTTGTACTCAGTCTTGTTCATGCATATTATATCATGTCTCAGTCTCAGTTATTGTTGTTTGGCACATCATATCATTGTTTCGGGCTAATTTCTTGGTATCGTGAGCCCGTGTGTGTGAGACTGGAGAGTTATGACTGAGTGAGGCCGAGAGCCTGAATTTGAGTGACAGTTATGGGATCGAGTTGCACGCCGCAACAGATTATTGATTATGCCTTCGTTGGCTTGCTATAGCGCTTGGGCTGAAAGGAGCCCTCCGGAGTCTATACACTCCCAGTGAGCGCGGATGATACTATTGAGGGATGGATTTCCCTGGACATGGATTTGTCCGAAGTACTGATACCTAGAGAAGGATTTCTCCTCAGGGTTGGATTAACCTTGTTCATCGGTACCGGTTGACTTGAGGTCAGCATGTTATATATATTCCGGGATGGATTTCCCTGGGCTGGATGGCCATATGCGGTACCGAGTGGTTGAGAACTTGAGAGTGGGAGCACACGGTGCATTTTCATACATCCCTGGCATTGACATGTAGAGTTTTACTGAGCTTTATACTTCATAAGTCCGGATTAGTACTTTTCTTTATTGTCAAGCTAAAAATATTAAACTGCCAGCATGTCTACTTTCCTGTACAATTTAAATGTGTTATAATTGCTGAGGTTTAGTTCGTCACTACCTATCAGTTCATTGTTTGGACTTGTTACTTACTGAGCTGGTGTACTCACGTTACCTCCTGTACCTTGTGTGCAGATCCAGGTATCTCAGGCCACGATAGCGGCTGTTGACTGTTCCAGACGTAGATTTCACCGGAGTTAGCGAGGTAGCTGCCTGACGTTCGCAGTCCCGCCTTCCTCCTTTATCTTCCTTCTAGTATATTTTGGATATTTCAGACAATTTTGGTCTAGTTGTGTTTCGAAACAAATGTAGTATTGCTCATGACTTAGTGACACCCGAGGTCGGGCTTTTATTTTCCGCTTTTATTTTGGTTTTGACTTTACATCTTTTATGGAATTTCAGTGAAAATAGTATTTTTAAGCTTTAAATGAAATGTTGAGCTATTTTGGAAATGTGTCGGCTGCCCTAGTTTCACGATAGGCGCCTTCAAGACCGGGTTGGTTTTGGGGTCGTGACAATACTATATTTTATTAAGGGTATTTTAGGTAAGAAGAGAAGTCAAAACTGCTTCTCCTTCTGCTTTTGGAAAGAAGCTACTTATTTTTGCTTCTCAAAATCTGCTTCTTCCCAAAAGCACTTTTTTCCCAAAAAAACTTGGCCAAACACCTCAAGTTAGGAAAAAAGTGCTTTTGGGGAAAAAACACTTTTGGCCTCTTGAGAAGCTTGGCCAAACAGGCTATAAGTGTGTATGCATGCCATCAAGAACACTAATTTCAACAATAGATACTATTAATTTAGGTTGTTAAAACTTTTATTTGACATCCTACTAGCCATTTCACCTTATCACATTTTAAAACACTATTGTAAACACTTTCGTCAACCTCTACAAATTATTCTGTCAAAAATAAGACGATATAATAATCTATATAGATATACTACTCTTAATTGGAATTGAGGTAGCAATTTTTAAAAGTAGACGACAAAAAATAGATGTAACAACTTTATTTTATTCCCATAATTCTTAATCCTTTTGTGTCTAGAATTCCATCCTCAAGGCCAAGTTAACTCCCTTAGCCAGTTAACTACTGCAAAGGAAGCTAAATAACATCCCGAGGTAGTCTGGCAAGGCAAAAACACAGCAAAAAGTCAGCAAAGGAATTCATGCTGAATATTTTAACTTATTTACTCCAGTGCTACAGTGCAGTAGACAAGTACCTCTAACCGAAAAAGTTACTTGTTTGCGTCCAGTGTATACTTTATGAACGTAATAGTCCTTAAAGTACAGATAACAATATTAGAAAGTAAAGCAGAAAAGTCATATCATCTTTTATATTGGTTGATGTTGGTGGTGTCCGTACCACCTGTGCACTTCGACTATTCCACCGGGTACCTATATCTCCCACCAGGAAAAGGTCTCACTTTATGATTAGGCAAGGTATGGTACGTGACTGGAACAAGAAACAAAAAGCATAGATTTTCAAAAATGATTCTAGATTGCGTACCATTATCAAGGAGCATGAAATCCAATTTGCTTGCAACTCGGTGAACTAAAAAATGACTATTTTGATAAGCATCTTTTTGGATTCATTTCAGAAATTTGCCATCGTCAAAATGATAAATTGATCAGCCTATGCAGGAGGACTAAAGTAATTACAGAAGAAAGGAAGGATGATATATTGACCAGACTACACTGGAGAACTAAAATGATGACAGAAGAGCAGAAAACAAATGCCTCACTCTGGTCTACAAAGTAATTCCAAAAATCAAAAGACAATTAACTAAAGATTCGTCTCATATTGAAAGTTTCCTACAAATAGGTGCTTTAGTCCGGTCTGCAGTGCAAGTTGGAACATCAAATCAATCAATCATGACAAATAACTCATATCAACAACTACTTTGACCACAATACAGTTGCCTAATTACCATGTTTCAAACTCAGAATTATTCTCATATCCAAATACTTGTGATGCACAGTACGCAATCGTATGCCACTAGAAATCATCAATTATGGAACCACTAGAAAGGGAAATATTTTGCCCTTATTTGCACTAAACGTACTCTCTTCTGCCTATCAATAAAAATACAAAATTAAGCTCATCAATTCAAACTAAAAAGATATAAACCTTCCCAACCAAAATTCGAACAAACCTCATACACTTCAGACGATCCAAACTATGCTTTAACATCGCATCCAACACGTTGAAACCCACTCTGGAATCCCCTTCTAGATTGGAATTGTTCCCCTTAGACGACCAATCATTGGATCCTTGCTCCTCCCGATTCACACTTTGCACTACATTATCTTGTCTACACATAAAATTACAAAAATTATCAACTCTATGGCAAAGAAAATGAGTTGAAAAAAAAACAGAGAGAATTATAAGCATAACTATATAATCCACTAATCATGCCTCGTGTCGATAACATCCAAATTCGCTTTCGAGCAGAATAAATCGCCAAATGCATGAAAAACACGGTCTTTAATAATGTTTAGGGTTTGAAAACTCCCGTTCAGTATCCGAATAAGAAATTGAGATTCCTCGGAGACAAGCAATAACTGGAAAAAAAATAATGAGGACAAATGTATTTTAAGGAAGGAGAAAATGAGTATTAAACGGATTCAGAGATTCTTAAGGACTTACAGGCTGCATTTCCGGTTAACTTGAAATGGATGGGCTGAAGACGGCTGATATGGATTGGACTGAAGAGTGAAGGGACGAGAGTAATTAAGGAGCTCTTCACTGTAAACGGGCGGTTACCCGTTTGGGCATCTGAAGTCGATGTATAAAAAATGTTGATATTTTTAGTCCTAAACCTTAAAACTAACGGTTCCACCCAAAAAACCTGTTGAAATTTAACTGAGACCTTCAATGTACACCTTTTGTGAGAATCTCTAATTTTGATTGTGTAAAAAATTTAAGATATTAAAATTTTCTATCTTGCCATGATAAGCACGAAGATGTCAGGAGCTGGCGGAGTTGTCCTCAAGTCCACTGGTGAAGGCGTGGTATGCAGGGGAAGACCTATTGCGCCGACGGAGATCGAAGATTTGTGCGAGGGGTTGTATGGGCCAGGGGTTGGGGGGGTGCTATATTGGGCAGGTAATGAACGGACGGACGGAAGGAAGAAATTAGGCAAATAGCCAATTTCTGGACCGTTAATCAAGCTTTAGCCATTATTTCAAAAGCTATTGGCATTTAGCCACTCTTTTGATATTGATGATAAATATTTGGATAAAATTACTTGTAGCTAAATACGAAAAAACTCACGATTATTGAATTTCAATACTTTTACAAGTGAAATTTCATCTCGTCGTATTGGAATTCAAAAGTTAACTACAAATGAAACTCCAACCTAGCGTGATGGAGTTTCGAATTTCTATAAAATTCCAGGATGCCATATTGAAGTTTGAACGAAATTTTTATATTTATTTTTACCTTATTTGAACACCACAAACTGCTTTGTTTAAAGCTAAAATTGTGTATATTCCCATTTAAGTAAAATCTTAGTTTTTCCAAGGTAGCCACCCATGATACTAAGTTATTCGCTTCTCAAATAGATTACATCTTTACTACTGTTACGCCCCGAACCCGGGGAAGCATGGCTGGCACCCGGTGCCGTGGTGGCCAGAGCGAACCACTCTGTAATTCATTCATTCCTTTTGTGACTATCATGGGCTAACATGGCCACAACTCGTAATGTACAATTGTAAGTGGGCTAATGTATCAATAAACTATCATTCTTAAAACATGAATACATATGGGCCGTCAAGGCCTCTGACATATTGTACAATCTGAATCTCTGTCTACAAAGCCTCTACGATTATTGACATCAAATGGAACAAGATACCGGCCTACCCATAAGTCTGTAACAAAACTCTGACACGATGACTCATAGACTCGGTTGCACTCCAAATGAGGTGGAGTCTTACCGATCCTTCGTTGAATGTCAATCTCGTCTAGTATGAGGGCTCGTCGACTGATTATTTATACCTGCATGCATGAATGCAGCGTCCCCAACAAAAGGACGTCAGTACAAATAATGTACTAAGTATGTAAGTCATGTAAATAAGTATATAAGAAACATGGAAGAAAACGTGGAGTAAATGACTCAACCTGTAAATCTGGATAGCTCTGTAAATCATGAAATATTTATAAGGTCATGCATATGCGTATAAATATCATGTAATGCATAGGTCTATATGTACATAACGTCATCAAGCCTCTGAGGGCATCCCATCATATCATCTCGGCCACTGTGGTCAACATCATCAACGTATACTAGTTGATCAGGTGGTGGTGCATATATAACGCCATAACCTTTTTTCATATCCCGTATACATATAATATATACATATATATAGGCGTATATAACGCCATCTGGTCATGGGTCAATGTGCATGTATAAATGCATGAAATGCATATGAAATATGTTAACAAAATCGCTCGGCACGTCATAAGACCATTATGCCTCTAATTAATATCCTGAAATAAACTTTACCAACTTACATATTTTTGAGACCCATGAACAGAAGATATAACAATTTGACACATGGCGAATCAAGAACATAAGCATCTCTAGTATTTCTATGAATAGAGTCGTTTATGAAAACTGCGTATTTGCTCGTTTCTTCTGTATAACTTGGACCATGCCAAAAAGAAAGAAGGGTTGGCCTTAACATACATGAGCCGATTCTCTTGACAATCCCGCCAAATATTAACAAAAGCCCTAAAAAGAAGGTGAAAGAGCAACACAGAAAGATATTTACGCAACAATTAGTTGCACACATCTTATCTCAGACAGACCCCAAAGGAATATGTACAATCTTATCTTCCCACCACGTGATATAGGATGATTAAGATGAATGCACAAAGAAATTGTCACGACCTCGAATACTGGTCGTGATGGCGCCTATCACATTACTAGGCAAGCCAACTAATCAATAACCACAACCCTCTTTTTAATAACATTAAGCCATTTTCTAACACAAGTTTTCGATACCAAATTCATTATAAGCGTTAAGGCAACAAAAGATATGCGGAAAGTCAAAATAACAATAAACTACACAGCCCCAACTATCTGGTGTCACGAGTCTAGAGCCTCTAATACAAGTCTGAATACTTAATACATCAATAGTCTAGGAAATGCGGAAAAATGATAAGATGTGAGGGAGAGAACAGGGCTGCGGACGCCATGCAGCTACCTCGAAGTCTCTATCAAATACTGAAACAGCTGAAAGCCCTCACTCGGCCTTTCGGGCAACTAGATCTGCACACAAGGTGAAGGGAGTAACGTGAGTACGCCAACTCAGTAAGTAACTAGAGTAAATAAGGACTGAAAGTAGTGACGAGCAGTTCAAAAATACATAACTAAATAATCAATAGAATATCAGGTCATATTTACAGTTTAAAATCCGTTTTCGTTATAAAATCATATTTCCAGTTTAAACATTTGAAATCAAATACTTAGTGGTAATCAACAGAGGCTTATATAAAAGAAGAGTGAAATCAGTGAAACATCATAACAAGGCCTCTTGGGCAAGGAAATCACTCAGAATATGGCCCATAGGGCAGCCTCTCAGTCACTCGTGACTCGACCCTCATCACACAGTACTCACTCTCAGCACTCGGCTCATTAGTATGTCATAATAATAGAAATCATAATAACCAATGTGGCGTGCAGCCCGATCCATATATAATAGTCGACTACGCTCACTAGGGGTGTGCAGACTCCGGAGGGGCTCCTACAGCCCAAACGTCATATCGCTGCGGCGTGCAGCCTGATCCAATATATATATCGCTGCGACGTACATCCCGATCCATATAAGTATTGTTGCGGCGTGCAGCCCGATCCATAACTCACATATATACAAATATCCTCATAATCAGGTTCTCACCCTCTCTCAATCATTAACCTCACAACCTCTCGATCTTATCAACAGAGATTAGGGAACTCGGCCCAAACAGTCCTCTCAATTAGGAGTAGAGTGATAAAATCAGTTTTAATCATTTAAACAGGTAAAACAAGACTGAGGATATACTTCTAGCAAGTAAAGTGAGGAAAATAGTCAAAATGCCCCTAAGGATTTCTACAGGTCGGCACAAGGCCACAAAAACATGGCATACAGCCCATAATACAATATAAATATCCAAAATACGGGATAACATAATATTTTCAAATCAAATACGCGAGTTAATAGTCGCTACGGGACGGACCAAGTCACAATCCCTACTAGTGCACGCCCACATGCTCGTCACCTATCATGTGCGTCACCGCGTTTATCAAAACAAGTCAAATACCAGGGTTTTGTACCCTCAATTCTAGATTTACAATGGTTACTTACCTCAAACCGGTGAAAATACTACTTTGCGACGCCTTTGCTCCTCGAATCGGCCTCCACTCGCATCGAATCTATCCAAAATCAGAACGAGGGCGTCAAAATATGCTAAGGGAATAAAGCCCAAGCGAAAACAATCGAAAAATACCAAAAATCCAGAAATTACCAAAACCCGACCCCCGGGCCCACATCTCAAAATTCAGAAATTTTTACATCAACAGATTTCTCGTCTCCCCACGAATCTATGCATATCAAGAACACTAAAATCAAAGTCCAAATGACCCCTCAAATCCTCCTTCAAAGGCCTCTTAAACTCAAGCCCTAATCCTCCATTTTTAGCCCTTTAATTCCTTTAATTACAGCCTTAATACATGAAATACTACCATAGAAATGTGCTTTAGGTCCACAATCCTTACCTTAACGAAGTCTTCTTGATTCCTCTCTTCAAAATCGCCCAAAGCTCCCGAATCCTTGTTTAAAAATGGTGAAACCCTTCAAAAATCGCGAAGGAAGACATATATACATTCTGCTCAGGGATACCGCATCTACGGTCAAAAACCCGCTTCTACGGTACCGCATATGCGGTCTATCTTCCGCTTCTGCGGAAATCACTTAGCGGACCAATTATGCATCTGCGATCCAATCTACGCACCTGCGACTCCACAGGTGCGGTTCAATTACCGCATCTGCGGTGCTTGCCTCTTCCTATCAAATCCGCTTTTGCGGCTCCCCTTCCGCATGTGCGGCGCCGCACCTACGGTCCCCAAACCGCAGGTGCAAAAACACTAGAAGCAGTAAAGTTCAGCAGCTGCAATACATCTCAACTTCCCCGTTAACCACCCGAAATCACCCCGAGGCCCTCGGGACCTCAACTAAAAGCACAAACATATTCCAATACCTTATTCAAACTTGTTCCAATCATCAAAACACCTCCAACAACATTAAATCACCCAAAACACATCGGATTCAAGCCAAACTTTCTAAAATTTTCCAAATTACATTTTCGATCAAAAATCCAACCAAACCACGTCCGAATGGCCTAAAATTTTGCACATACATCCCAAATGACACAATGGTACTACTGCAACTCTCGGAATTCCATTCCAACCCCTATATCAAAATCTCGCCTATCAACCGGAAATAGCCAAAATATCAACTTCGCCAATTCAAGCCTAATTCTACTTTGTATCTCCAAAACTCATTCCGATCACACTCCTAAGTCATAAATCACCTCCTGAAGCTAACCGAACCATCGGAACTTACATCCGAGCCCTCTAACACGTAAGTCAACATCCAGTTGACTTTTCCAACTTAAACTCCCTTAAAAGAGACTAAGTATCTCAAACTTCACCAAACTCATTCCGGACTCGATCCAGTTAACCTGATACCACAAAACACGGATAACGAAGCATGAAGAAGCAGAAATAGGGAAAACGAAGCGGTAACTCATGAGACGACTGGTCGGGTCGTCATATCCTCCCTAACTTAAACAAATGTTCGTCCTCGAACGAGCCAAGAAACATACCTGAAGCCTCAAACATGTGAGGATATTTGCTCCGCATCTCCCCCTCGGTCTCCCAGGTAGCCTCCTCCATGGGTCGACCTCTCCACTGTACTTTCACTGAAGCTATATCCTTTGATCTCAACTTTCGAACTTGCCGACCCAAAATAGCTACTGGCTCCACATCATAGGTCAAATCATCGTCCAACTGAACCGTGCTGAAATCCAGAACATGAGACGGATCCCCAATATACTTCCGGAGCATAGAAACATGAAATACCGGATGCACACTCGACAAGATGGGTAGCAAAGCAAGCTCATAAGCCACCTC